CTATCAAGGGCTGCGTAGGTGCACAGCCACAGGGGCCTGGAGAGGACAGAGGTGGGGGTGGGTGGGGAGCAAGTTGGGGCGTGCAGGGCTGCGGCGGGGACAGGCGCCTCTCTCCCCACCACAGCCCTGGGGCAGCCTGCACCCCAAACCCCTCATCTCTGGCTTCACCCCAGAATCCCCACCCCCAGCCAGAGCCCTCACCCACCCCGAACCCCTCATCCCAGAGCCCTCACACCCTGCACCCCACGCACCCTCCTGTACTCCAAACCCCTCATCCCCAGACCCACCCCAGAGCCTGCACCCCAACCCTCTGCCCTAGCCCTGAGCCCCCTTGTTAACCCCTCATCCCTGGTGCCATCCCAGAGCCTGCACCCCCAGCCAGAGCCCTCACCCCCCCACATCCCAACCCTCTGCCCCAGCCCTGGGCCCCTCAGCCCCACCACAGCCACACATCTCCTCCATATTGGTGCACATGACAAAATTCATTCTGCACATGGATGTAAAAAATGAGAGGGCACATTGGTAAGGATACTAATAGCATTCTGCTCTTATATACCGTTACAACCTCAGTCTAGTTACTCCTCCTTACTGACTATGTTCAGACAGGATGTCAGGGATATAACCTAAGTCAGCAGAATCCCGGTCCTCCCCGACCACTTCACCGTGATGTCTCTGGTAATGTTATAACTTTTAAGAAGTATCAGAAGTATCTTTTCCTCTGCATTGATTGACGCCCTTGTCCAAAGGTGAATGATGAGATCTTGATTTTCCTTACAAGAGTGACACATAAACCCACTCTGTATTTTTAGCCATCATTTATACCATGCTAATCTCCACATGAGATCATCATGGGATGTTCTCTACATCCTACTGTGCGATGAATTCAGCCATAAGATATTGTATCCACTGTTTTTCTTTAACACCTAGGCACTCATACCACCATGAGGTACATAGGATGGATAGCTTGATGGTCTAGCTGTAACATTAGAAATGCCTTGTAATCTGCTTGTTGCAGGGTCTGGCCTCTGTTAATCTGCTCCTGTTTTAATTGCAGGTGCCACCGCTGAGTCAGTCGAAATGTCAGACGTATGAACTTGGCAGAACAGAGGGGTATTGCTGGAGACCATCGTTCTTTTCTTTTGCAAACCTTCCAGCTACTGTTTCACAGGTAGAGTACATCTGTCCACTTGGTGGATTCTCTTGCACTGCTTTCAAATGGCCTCATTCAAAAACCTGCTCAAGAACCAGTTCTTCAGTGATGGACCTACAGAGTTAGCCCACTAATTAAGGATCTGTTGAGGGGCAGTCAGGTATCGATAATATGCATTTAGACAAGCTGTTCTGCTGTGGATAAATGAGTCATTGGAGCGGGGGACTGGACCCAGTGTCACTGTGCCTCAGTGGGTCACGGCTGACAGTGCCAAACTCAGGGCAAACTGCTGTGAAATAGGGTAGACTCACCCCAAACTGCTGGTGGTTCTTTATTAGATCATACCAAACCAGTAACAAAATTAAACTTCTGTCTCGCCACACTGCACAACAAGAAGTCAAAAATACAGTCTTCAGGCACTCCAGCCCTTGTTTCACCACCCAGATACTGGATTCTATGATGAGTGGTTACCGAAAACCAATTTCATCAAATATAGGGTCCTTCTAATCTCAAGAGATCAGCCACTTAGCCAGGTCAATATATAACTCAGATCTTACCCAATAATCACAGTGGTGTTGTCAAGGCTGCTTCCCCACTTTGAACTTTAGGGTACAAATGTGGGGGCCTGCATGAAAACTTCTAAGCTTAACTACCAGCTTAGATCTGGTCCGCTGCCACCACTCCCAAAATGCTAATTCCCTTCCCTGGGTAGCCTTGAGAGATTCTTCACCAATTCCCTGGTGAATACAGATCCAAACCCCTTGGATCTTAAAACAAGGAGAAATTAGCCATCCCCCTCCTTTCTCCCACCAACTCCTGGTGGATCAAGATCCAACCCCCTTGGATCTAAAAACAAGGAAAAATCAATCAGGTTCTTAAAAAGAAGACTTTTAATGAAAGAAAAAGGTAAAAATCAGGATGGAAAATAACTTTACAGGGTAATCAAACTTAAAGAGCCCAGAGGAATCCCCTCTAGCCTTAGGTTCAGAGTTACAGCAAACAGAGATAAACACTTTAGCAAAAAGGTACATTTACAAGTTGAGAAAACAAAGATAAAAACTAACACGCCTTGCCTGGCTGTTTACTTACAAGTTTGAAATAGGAGAGACTTGTTTAGAAAGATTTGGAGAGCCTGGATTGATGTCTGGTCCCTCTCAGTCCCAAGAGCGAACCACCCCCAAAACAAAGAGCACAAACAAAAGCCTTCCCCCCACCAAGATTTGAAAGTATCTTGTCCCCTTATTGGTCCTTTGGGTCAGATGTCAGCCAGGTTACATGAGCTTCTTAACCCTTTACAGGTAAAAGGATTTTGGAGTCTCCGGCCAGGAGGGATTTTATAGTACTGTACACAGGAGGGCGGTTACCCTTCCCTTTATAGTTATGACAGATGTCAATCCTTGAGTAACTAAAAACAGACACACACACAAGTCCTTATATCAGGTTTGTAGCAGTGATGGAATAGCCTGCTCGCCTGTGAAGTCTCTCTCTGATAACGTCCAAAAGATTGGAAGGTCTTCAGTCCGTAGTTCAAAATGCTCCTTTTACTTGTAAATCTACCGTCCAGAGAATCAGGGCAGGAAACAGACAAAATGGAGATAGCTCAGGGGTCTTTTATATCATTTGCCACATGCCTGGAAATGTACTGTCTCTGCTTGTGGAAAGGTACTGGCCTAAGATGGAGTCCAGGGTCACATGAGCGTAACACATGTCCTTGCATAGCTTGATGACTCTCAGGGGGTAGCCATTGCCCATATTCTTGCTGAGGTGTCCACATGCCATGCATCTGAAGAAGTGAAGTTTTTTTTACCCACGAAAGCTTATGCCCAAATAAATCCGTTAGTATTTAAGGTGTCACCGAACTCCTTGTTGTTTTTGTAATTACCTGTACTGAAATTTCACTAGGACACTGGAGGACAGATAAGGACACGCACACAAGAAATGCTTTAGGATCTTCAGCGACCACAAATGGTTTAACGTCTTGTCCAAAAGACAGCCCCTCCAGCAGTATAGCACCAGAGATGGAGAGTGGATCAGTGTTGAATCAGAGAGGAATTCCTCTTAGGGTACATCTGGATTGAAAAACAAAACAAAAACTACAGTGTATCTCAGAGCCTGGGTGTGACAGGTTCCCTGAGGTACAACCTCAAACCGAAGTACCACTGAGCCTTCTGTCCCATCAGTCTGAACTTCCTTTCACATTGAGATGTTGTGACAAGCTGCAAACCTACTGCACTCACACAAACATCCACAGGCTGGGACACGCCCAGCTGCGTTACATGAATGCTTTTGCCAGCCACTCATGAACCAACAATAGAGAGGCTCCAGCCAGTTCCCCTAGCTCCCCAGTCTTGCACCCCTGAATTGTACTTCTTACCCTGGTTAAAAGCCTGACCAGTGTAAGTTTATTACCCAATCTTCCCCTCCCTCGATGGGGAAAGGACGTGCATAAGTTTTTGTTAACTGAGCTAAGATTTTTTTCCATGCACTTCACTCCAGCCCCCCTGTTTTAGGTAAAATATAAAACTGATGTATTAACTACAGCAAGGTGGAGTAGTGATTCTAAGAAATAAGTGTACAGATCAAAGTAGGTTATACCTTAGAAATCAAATCGCAATTTGAGTTCTCCAGAATCCTAGAACTGGAAGTGCATCCAGTCCGGTCCCCTGCACTCAAGGCAGGACTAAGTATTATCTAGACCAGGGGTTCTCAAACTGGGGGTCAGGACCCCTCAGGGGGTCGTGAGCTGTCAGCCTCCACCCCAAGCCCCGCTTTGCCTCCAGCATTTATAATGATGTTAAATATATTTAAAAGTGTTTTAATTTATAATGGGGGTCGCACTCAGAGGCTTGCTGTGTGAAAGGGGTCACCAGTACAAAAGTTTGAGAACCCCTGATCTAGACCATCCCTGCCAGGTGTTTGTCTAACCTGCTCTCAAAAACCTCCAGTAATGGAGATTCCACCACCTCCCTAGGCAATTTATTCCAGTGCTTGACCACCCTGACAGGAAGTTTTTCCTAATGTCCAACATAAACTGCCCTTGCTGCAATCTAAGCCCATTGCTTCTTGTCCTATCCTGAGAGGTTAAGAAAAATAATTTTTCTTCCTCTTCCTTGTAACAACTTTTTACATACTTGAAAATTGGTATCATGCCCCCTCTGTCTTCTCTTCTCCAGACTAGACAAACCCAATTTTTTCAATCTTCCCTCATAGGACATGTTTTCTAGACATTTCAACATATTTGTCATTTTTCTCTGGACTCTCTCCAATTTGTCCACATCCTTCCTGAAATGTGGTGCCCAGAACTGGACACAATACTCCAGTTGAGGCCTTATCAGCACGGAGCAGAGCGGAAGAATTACTTCTCCTGTCTTGCTTACAACACTCCTGCTAATACATCCCAGAATGATGTTTGCTTTCTTTTGCAACAGTGTTACACTGTTGACTCATTTAGCTTGTGATCCACTATGACCCCCAGATCCCTTTCCGCAGTACTCCTTCCTAGCCAGTCATTTCCCATTTGTATGTGTGTGCGCAAGTGATTCTTCCTTCCTAAGTGGAGTACTTTGCATTTGTCCTTATTGAATTTCATCCTATTTACTTCAGACCATTTCTCCAGTTTGTCCTGATCAGTTTGAATTTTAATCCTATCCTCCAAAGTACTTGCAACCCCTCCCAGCTTGGTATCGTCCACAAACTTTATAAGTGTACTCTGTATGCCATTATCTAAATCATTGATGAAGATACTGAACAGAACCAGACCCAGAACTGATCCCTGCGGGACCCACTCGTTATGCCCTTCCAGCATGACTGTGAACCACTGATAACTACTCTCTGGGAACAGTTTTCCAACTAGTTTTGCGCCCACCTTATAGTAGCTCCATCTAGATCATATTTCCCTAGTTTGTTTATGAGAGGGTCACTCGAGACAGCATCAAAAGCCTTACTAACATCAAGATATACCACATCTACCGCTTCCCCCCCATCCACAAGGCTTGTTACCCTGTCACAGAAAGCTCTCAGGTTGGTTTGACACGATTTGTTCTTGACAAATCCATACTGATTGTTACTTATCACTTTATTATCTTCTAGATGTTTGCAAGTTGACTTCTTCATTATTTGCTCCATTATCTTTCCTGGTACAGATGTTAAGCTGACTGGTCTGTAATTTCCCGCATGGGCGGCAAGTCCTATGGGCCCGTGGTGCCTGGGCACCAGGAATATTCCTGGCCCGGGACCCGGCTCCAGCAATGTTTGGGGCCAGGTCTCTCCCTCGGCCCCGCCTTCCGCTCCCGGGCCATTTAAAACAGCCCAGGGCCCCCACTTACCACTGGCAGCGCAATGGAGCTGAGTGGCTTCCTCCCTGCTCGCTCCACGCGGCTGCTGGCCCCTCCCTGCAGCCCCTGGGCGGGATGGGTCTGTGTCCCACCCCAAGCTCCCCTGCAGCCAGTAGGAAGCTGCGGGGGCAGTGCCTGGGGATAGCAGCACATGGAGACTCCTGGCCTGCCCTGCCTAGGAGCCCCAGGTAAGGCCTGCACCCCCTCCCTCCGCCCCCCATCCCCAAACTCCCTCCCAGAGCCAGCACCCAAACTCTGTCCCAGAGCCTGCACCCCTCACCCCCTCCTGCACACTCACCCCTTGTCCAAGCCCAGAGCCTACACCCAAACTCCATCCCAGAGCCTGCACCTTCACCCCCTGTCACGTTATTGACTTGAACTGGGACCATATAGAACATGGATGCAACCAAAGTCCTGTAGTGGCACCAAATCTTGTATAAAGGGGGTCAAATGAGGTGTTTCAGACAAGGTTATGGTTTACTGGTTATGATTATGTTGTCTGTGTGTGTATCAATTTTGTAGTTGAAGTTATGAATATTGGCTGTATACTGTCTGTACTTCAAACTTATGCTATGCTTCTGGGTGACACCCCAGACAAGTTGGTGTTAGCTCTGCCTAGCCTGCTTGATGGCCCATTAAGGACCATCAGCTATACAATTGACCCATTGAGAGAAGGCAGATACGCCTTGTAACTCAGCAAAGTATGCAGGGACTGGCCCATGTGACTCCAGACTCCATTTTGCTGTAATTTTCCACAGTAAGGACAAAGAGGTGTTCTTACACCTGGAAAAGACTATAAAAGGCTGATGCCTCATCTCCATCTTGTCTTCAATCCTGCTTCTTACCTCTGGAGGGACTTTGCTACAAACTGAAGCTCTGAACAAAGGACTGAGGACCCATCCCAGCTGTGGATGTACTCCAGAGACTTGATTTGAACCTGCAGTTTATTCTGCTACAAGCCTGAACCAAGATTTTGCCATTACTGTATGTAATTGATTCCATTTAACCAATTCTAGCTCTCATCTATATCTTTTTCCTTTTATGAATAAACCTTTAGATTTTAGATTCTGAAGGATTGGCAATGGCGTGATTTGTGGGTAAGATCTGATTTGTATATTGACCTGGGTCTGGGGCTTGGTACTATGGGATCAGGAGAACCTTTTTACTATTCCTGGGGTATTGGTTTTCATAACCATTTGTCCCCATAACGAGCGGCACTGGTGGTGATACTGGGAAACTGGAGTGTCTAAGGGAATTGCTTGTGTGACTTGTGGTTAGCCAGTGGGGTGAGACCGAAGTCCTCTTTGCCTGGATGGTTTGGTTTGCTTTAGAGGTGGAAAAACCCCAGCCTTGGGCTGTAACTGCCCTGTTTTAAGCAATTGGTCCTGAATTGGCACTCTCAGTTGGGTCCTGCCAGAACCAGCATCATTACACCCCCTCCTGCACCCAGAACCCAAACTCCATCCCAGAGCCTGCACCCCAGACCCCCTCCTTCACTCCCACCCAAACTCCCTCCCAGAGCCCAACCTCTCACCCATCCTGCACCCCAATCCCCTGCCCCAGCCCAGGGCCTGCACCCCAGAGCTCCTCCCCCCCACCCAAACTCCCTCCTAGAGCCTTAGGCAAGTGGGGGGCAAAGTTTGGGGGGGGGGTTGGGCACCACCAAAATTTCTACAAACCTGCGACCCCTGATTCCCCGGGTTTTCCTTATTTCCCTTTTTAGCGATGGGCACTATTTTTGCGCTTTTCCAGTCTTCTGGAATCTCTCCCGTCTTTCATGACTTGTCAAAGATTTTAATTGGTAGTGGCTCAGATATCTCCTCAGTCAGATCCTTGAGTATTCTAGGATGCATTTCATCAGGCCCTGGTGATTTGAAGACATCTAACTTGTCTAAGTAATTTTTAACTTGTTCTTTCTCTATTTTAGCCTCTGACCCTACCTCATTTTCACTGGCATTCACTACGTTAGTCGTCCCATCGCCACCATCCACCTTGGTGAAAACCGAAACAAAGACCTCATTAAGCACCTCTGCCATTTCCACATTTTCTGTTATTGTTCCTTCCCCCCCCCCCCCCCCCCCCCATTGAGTAACGGGCCCACCCTGTCCTTGGTCTTCCTCTTGCTTCTAATGTATTTGTGGAATGTTTTCTTGTTACCCTTTATGTCTCTGGCTAGTTTGATCTCGTTTTGTGCCTTGGCCTTTCTAATTTTGCCCCTACAGACTTGTGTTGTTTGTTTATATTCATCCTTTGTAGTTTGACCTAGTTTCCACTCTTTTTTGAGTTTCAGATAATTGAAGATCTCCTGGTTAAGCCAGGGTGATCTCTTGCCATCCTTCCTATCTTTCCTATGCAGTGCGATAGTTTTCTCTTGTGCCCTTAATAATGTCTCTGAAAAACTGCCAACTGTCTTCAATTGTTTTTCCCCTTTACTTGCTTCCCATGGGATCTTACCTACCAGCTCCCTGAGTTTGCTGAAATCTGCCTTCTTGAAATCAGTTGTCTTTACTGTTCTGTTCTCCCTCCTACCATTCCTTAGAATCGTGAACTCGACCATTTCATGATCACTTTCACCCAAGCTGCCTTCTGCTTTCAAATTCTCAACCAGTTCTTCCCTATTTGTCAAAATCAAATCTAGAACTGCCTGTGACGTTGAGTGTAATATAATATCTCATTGAAAGGGGACAGGGCCAGAAAGAGTTAATTAACTCACAGACTGACCTGACCCATGGCCGAACTTTAGAGACTGGTTAGGAAGATCTGTAAATGAACAGAGCTTTGAAATGCAGCCCGCATTGTTAGAGATAGAAGGGGAGATGTTTGCTCAGGTCTTGTGATGTAAGCAAACAAGTCTTGTCTATTGTTAGAGCTTTGATTCAAAGATCAAAAAAGGAATATTAACATTTAGGAAGATACTTGAGGGAAATAGTATTATTGTCTCTGTCTCTTCGAAGGTTGTGGTAACCTGTAGCTGAACTGTTTAATGGATAAATTACCCTGTGCTAATTGCCAGGATGTTTGGAAGAAGGAAAGTTAAGCCTATTGTTTTCTCAGGCCAAAAAGCTGCAGGAAATGTATAAAAACCTTGGGACTCGATCCTTCATCTCAGATCTGCTTTGGGTTTGAAGAGGGGGAAACCTTAAGCCATAAGGATTGAGATCCCCAGTCACTGACTGGAGTCACCCTGAGCATGGACATTGGACTATAACCTATGGACTATTTCTAATAGGACTTTTGGCAACTACAAGCCCATCTCTGCTATGTCCCTGAATCTCAAGAATTGAATTAAAGTCTGTCTGTATATTGATCTTTTAACCAACACTCTTTTTTTCTTTTTTAATAAATTTTAGTTTAGTTAATA